ATTAGTCAACCCCAGTTTGCTAATAGGGGGGGAGCACCCCTCCAAAAGGATGATTCCCCACCAAACTCAGGGACACCCCCCTATTAATAAACCGGGGTTGATTGATATGGGTCGACATTTCTTTGATTTGACCGTTTGAGCTTCTTGAACCTTTTGCGAAGCCGGGGACTTTTTCAAGCAAGCTGGAAGATGGAAGAGAGCTGAATGACTGGCGATAGGGGCAAGCCTCTCATCGAATTCCAATGTCGCTCGGGAGCAGAGGCCGAAGCAAGGATCGCGTAGGCCGCTTTGAAGGAGCATGGCCCGAAAGGACGCCTGTCAGAAAGGTACCTAGGAGAGCCTCTCAAAATGGGATTTGGAGCCCCAGTTGACCGATTCTCTCCTCCAACTCCCATGTGTCTCTGGTGTATTTCCCTCGCATTGGGGAGCCATGCCGACTGCTTGCGTTCCTGGCTCTCGTTTGGAGCCTGGGGCCTGCTCCTGCTACAACCGTCCTTTGGGATCCGACCACCGATCCAGCACGTCCGTAAGGGCTCCTTGGGCACAGTGGTCGACCTCTGGCTACACAACCCCCAACCGTGGGGACCACCACCACGCCACAACGACGCCACAACGACCAAAACGACTGGCAGGACCTCACGTGGGCTCGACGTCACGCACTCGTCGTTCAGCGCCTTCACTGCCCTCACCCATGCGACCCGGTCCCATAGACCGACCACGATCCTTCAGACAGCCAGTTGTATAGTCCTTAATTAAGGAGTATGGTCCCCTAAGTGGTATGCACATACATTCACATATATACATGTATATATATATATATCTATATCCACAGGCTGCCAAATTTCCGTTGGACTTGGGCGCCTGAAACCTGTTCGTTTGGCAAGTGCCAGGATTTGCTCTTCCAGGCCTTACAGCTCTTGGTGGAGAATCAGAAGGATTTGCCGCCCGGAGGAAAACACATCCCGATCGAGCCGACTCGGTTTCTGTCATCCCGGTGCGATAGGCTGGGAATGACGACTCCTTGGAACTAAGCGTCCCCATATGGCCTCCTTGAAGGGAATCCCAGCCCCCTGTTTTCTCATTTGGGCACCCACAAATTGTTTTTCCCCTTTCGTGCTTGAAGGGAGTCTATCACTACTATTCCACGACTGAAGCAAATGGAAGTTGTCGTTCGTTGAAGAGGGGTTGCTCCAAATGAACCCTGAAGATATAACATTTAACAGTTTTCCTGCGTACTGTACTCCAACATTGCTCTCAGTTTTCTTCTTGTCCTTTTTCTTGGCAGGGTCGAATGAAAGCCTGAGAGGCCTTGTTTCAAGATTCCCCTTTCAGCTTTGGAAAAGGTTCCATCTTCACCAGCTGCTTGCAAAGGTTCCACGCCACGCGAGAGGGATTCCATCATGGCAATCGGGGGGTCCCTTTTTCTCACAAAGGCAAGCTAAACCCTTGTTTCCTTCCATGCTTGTGGGTGAGAAGCCTCAAGCCGGGCTCCAAGCCATGTTTTGGCCAACTCCACGATCAAAACCCGGGTAGGGAAGGGTAAGTAAGGATGTCGGAATTCCTGGGGCCTTCCCCCAAACGTCAATGACTCTTCTTACGGCCCGCCCCCTTTAGTGAGTACACCCGATTTCTGGCCGCTCTTGAAACACGTGTTGCATTTCATCGAACTGAAGAAGAAGCAGGACATCGCAGACCACCCTTGCAAATCTAGCTGAGGCTTGTCTTTTTGCAGAGTACCTGTTTTCTTGCTGGTTCTCAGCGAGGAACGAGGGAATGACCCGGTAAAACCATCCCCTATGGTTTCCTTTCAGGGAATCCCTAGGTTAATTCCACAAAACCCTGGGTCATTCACTACTGAGCGGCAGCAAGTTTTGAGGGGCGTCTCTCCAAAGGACACCAAAGTGTAGGAGGGTCCCCTTTAAAACAAGCAAGCCCTCTACCATCGCTTTGATGGAATTCCTCAGTTTCCCTGAGGCGTTTGGGAAGAGCAATTGGCTTGCACATGGTCACACAGATGGACAAAATTCCTGCGCCAGGGATGGATAAAACTCGCATAAGCAGAGTCTCTTATGCATGCTGGGACGGCCACACACCACCTGTGCAGCACTTTGGCCATCCACAATAGGGGACCCTTGCAGATGTTTGCTTCTGACCTATTACTCGGCCAGGTCCTTTGCTTGCAAGTGATGCCTTTTGAAGAGGATGGTTGACAACCAACAGCCTTCTGCCAGCTTCAAGGAGCGTATTTTGTTTTGGGCCTTTGGTACTGCAAAATCGGCGCTAGGTGTGCTCATGGCCCCTCAAACGCAATCTCCAAAACCCCTCACTGAGAGAGCATTGAGGGGTCCCAAAAAAAAAGGTGTTCTTGCGGGGAAATAATCATTCAATCCAGTCATCGTCCATAAGCTGGGTTGTTCAAAGGCAATCCTGAATCCTTGCCTTGAGACACCAAAGAGTTCCCTGTTGTGGATAAGGATAACCCTCCCACCAATTGTATAACATGGAACCTGACACGGAATCATGGAAGACCATTGGGACCCCCTGTTAGGTTCCATGTTAGTTGGTGGGAGGCTATGGGTTAGGATTGGCCAACGCTCCAGGTTGAACAGCGCAGAGAAGAAGTTCAAGATTGCGCAATTTGGGTTGTGCGGGACATTTCATGAGTCCCGCAAGCTGACACTTGGGGCTTTGTGAAAATACTTCTAGTCGATGGCGTGTTTTTGGGCCATCAGGGAAGAACCTGTGATTTTTGACTGCTTTTATGGGTGTTCCTCAACATGGCATGGATGTCCTTTTGCTCACTCTTGCCCAAGCAAAATGAGCTTTTGGTGTTGCCTGTTTGGTCCATGTGTCATAGCCCCCACAGGAAAAACCCTGTCATTTTCAGGTCCTGTGGCTCCCTCACTGAGCTAGGCTTTAAATGTGAAGGGCTTCCGTAGTTCAGTGGCAAAAGTTTGGGCGCTGTTGGGCCAATCCACTCGTTCGGAAGTGAGATGGGCATCGGCCAATCTACTTGACAAGGACACATGTCCAACTTATCCATTTCGAGCGAAGCGAACTGAGCGTTTCAACGTGGGCTTGGGCCGGTTGAGGGGTTGGGCACCTGAGTTTTGGGTCTCCCTTGCAGGGCTCTTTTTGCCAGCTTTGGTGGAAAAATAATGGACCTTTTTGTGAAGCATTCCTTGTTGAGGGGGTCGCCAATTTCCTCACAAAAGGCGGCAAACAGATTTTCCTGGGCAACTTCGGCCCATCTATTTGAGCAAAAGGACACATGTCCAACCCCACCCTTTTAGAGAGAAGCAGAGTGTTTTAACACGGAAGGAACTGGGTTTTGAGTTTCCCTCGTGCCCAGCTTGCGGGGTGCGAGCTCGAGCGAGTTCGCGTTTTCGGTTTCTCGACTCTCAGGCAGCCCTGGCCAGCCGCACCCCGCACGCAGCAGGCCCAAATGTCGAGCAGAGGGATATGGGTGTGGGTCAAAACCAATGGTACCATATTTTGGGGTGGGTGCACCACCCATTTTGCTCTATTTTAGTGGGGATTGGGATGCTCACTGGGGGTGCGGGCCCATGGCCATTAAATTTGTTTAGAGGTACCCTTTGTTGGATGGCTTCAAATGGGAATCCAAAAAGAGCACATATATATATATATATACACGTGTGTATCGATTTGATATATTTGTATGACATCGGATTTATTTCTGCTTGTGCAGTGCTTGCACCAGACTTATATAAACCCCGAACTTTCCCTTTTGGGGGAATCAACCCCTGGGTTTAAGTCTGCCAAAAGAATTTGTTTTAAAGGTACCCTTCCTTAGACTAATCTGGAAGCTCCTAGGACTTTGGAAGACTTGGTTCCATCTACAGCGGCCTTCTAGGAGCTTCCGGGCTGTTAGTCTGAGGGGGTGTAAAACTCCGCTTGGCCGTCCTTCCTGGCCCAAAAACGGCCCCGTTCCGCCCGTTCCGCGGCGCGCGTTGGGGGGCGCGCGGGGAGCTCTCGACGGCCAGGCGCTGGAGCAGTTCCGGACCTCCAACCTGGTGGCCTCCATGACCTGCGGCTTCTTGACAGCGGAAGCAACGGGAGCGGCGAAGGGGTCCTCGGGTTTGGGCACCACACCGAAGTTGAGGGCGGTTGTTGGTTGACTGTGTTCTTAAGTCTTGCGCCCTGGTTGGTTGGTTGGTTGGGTGGGTGGGTGGGTAGGTGGGTGGGTGGTTGGTTGGTCTTCCTGTGGTTTCCCGACGGCTCTGCACCAGAACTGGAATGCCATGTAAAGTCTGATTTACATAATTGTAGGATTTCTAAATGCGAACCAAGTTCGATATGTTTACTTTGTTGAGCTGGAGGGGGAGGCAAACGCTGAGGTAGAGAGCTCTGGTATAGCCACGTAGTTGTTGTGGTGCTGGGTACTTGTCTACTTTTTCCAGATCCATCCGGTTCATGTGTGCTTCTTACCGTTGTTTGCTTCTTTTCACCCCTTGCTTCCTCTTGTTCAGTGGCACCTGTTCTTTGGAGTTCCTATATGGGGGGTGTGTTTTCTTGCGTGCACTGGTGCTGGGCTGGCTGAAGGAGAAAGCATGAATGTTCGCATTGACTTCCAGGTGTTGTGCTCATTGTCAAGTTGTGGATCTGGCTCATTGTAGTCCATGAATAAACCCATAGCCATTTTGGAGTTTTCGGGGACTGAATTCCGATGTTTAAGCCAGAACTAACGGTTAATTAACCCATACACTACGGGTTCATAGGTGTTCATATATGGACCTATACATTCAGCCGTTTACGATCGTGTGCAGGTACAGGGCTCTTTATTCCACAAGCGCCTGGGTAGTGGCACGGGTTCCCCGTAACTCCAACCTAAGCACCAAGCTGAACTTGTAAAGACTTGACAATGAGGGATGTGGATGGCTGTGTATTTTTTTTCCGGGCCCTCTTCGGGCACCCAGCTTGCCGCACGGTGAAAAACATCCCTGGGGCAATAACGCTGACACCTTTACCGCCGTGAGACTCCCGGCCCCTCGTGGCTGCCTTGGCATGTGGCCCCCTCTTGAAAGCAGACGACAACGATAAGAGCGAGAGAGAGACGACCATAGCACCCCAAGGCCTCTTGGGGAAACTAAAGGGATGTGTCAAATCCACCCGAATCTCACTCGGCAGCATGGGACCCTGAGACCTCCAGTGGTAGATTGGGGGCCCAATTTTGGGATGTGTGTCCATGCGCATGGGAGCGCATGGGAGTGCGCGGACATTGAGCTACCCCTTTCGCCTTGTGGCTGGGCCCTCGCAAAAATCGAGGAACAAGCAAAAGGCCGGAAGAAGTGAACCATCCTACCATGCAACTCGCCTCAAACCTCCGCCACGAGCCTTCGAATCACTGAGGCTTGCAGCGCAAGCCCTTCAAGCCGCCAGAGCAAAAGATTCGGGAGCTCGCAGAGCAGGAGCCTTGGGAGCTGCGGGCTTGGTGCTTGGCTTGGTGACCTTGGTGCCTGTTATCTATGAGTCCCCGGTACATATGTTAGGTCCCCCAGCTAGGTGCCCTTTTACCGTTTCGTTTTTGGTTGGGAGGGGTTCCCTACTAGAATGGACTACCAAAATAAGTTGTACCAACTTATTCTATCCTCTCTACTGGAGGACCGTATCTGAAACTACCTCTTCCAAATCTGATCTTCCGAGAGCTAGCCAGCGGATTGCTACTTTGCAAGCAGCCGGCAGACGTGAGCCTCAGATATTTTGAGGGCTCAACCACGTACCCGGCATATTGTCCCGTGTCACGCAGGCGTATGTATATGTAAACATAAGTCTACACGCTTGATTACAATGTAAACGGGCAATGTGTATACATGTATCGATGCATTCTCATATATACATATATACACGTGAACTATGTCCCTATAACATGATGCGCCCTTTGCTATGTTCGAAACCACAGGCTCTGTTCTGCCAAAGGACGTGCGTAGCAGAATTTGATTTTGCACTTTTGGTTCTCTTCATTTTGAGTGGCAGCCTAGAACGCCTTCTCAATGAACGCTTCGCCCTTGCAGCAAATAGTGGTGTTTCAAACCCGGTTCTGCACCTGGAAGCCCACTGAAAGATCATAGCCATGTGGATGGGAATCCCGCTTTGGTATCACAGAAAAGGTCATGTTCCACAACTCTGACTTTGCAGCAGCAACTAACCAGGGTTCCATTTTTTTGACTACCTACAAATGCACTTCAATTCAGGAGTTCCCTGTTTTGGGGTACGTGACTTACCCCTGGGTTCAAGCCATTGTGGGAGTCGTCAAAAATGGGAGGCCTGGTAGCAACTAGCGAAGACTTTCAGCCCGTGCCGGTGCCGATCTGAAGCTCCTTTTTTCGCCAGGAGGAAGAATCGATGTAGGCAGGCGACTGCGTTTCTGGGTCGTTGGAAGTGACTCAAGTCGTTTGCCAAGAAAAGCAGAGACGACACTCAGGAGACAGACCCTTTGGGTGGAGGATATCCGCTTCCAATTTTGGAAAAGTGCCAGTTTCAGCTGCCCATTGAACAGGAGATCCAAAGGGGGAGAAATGGATTCGGAAAGCAACAGCGGGTGGGCAATGGTGTGATAGTTCCCAAGGAAACAATGCACAATTCTTTTTCTGTGTTCCAAGAATAAGCAACACCGAAGTCTGAGCAAAAAGTCCTTCGAGCCTTCCAGAGGTTGCCGGTGCATACTGGCCCAGGCATCACAGGAAGCAATGGAATGTCAAGGTGATTTTCCTTGTCGGTTTTCTCTCATTCCCCCTTTCAATCAGCAAAAGTTGGCTTGTTTGCAGGGTGTGCAACGTTTGGCTCAATTTCGCTCACCGCGAAACCAAAGGCTGTAGTTCTACTTGTTTCTTCACCTTAAAGGCGACGCATGTATGCACTGCAGGGGATTCCGGAGGGGGTTTTCTTCAAGCGCCGGCACGCCCTTCATGGGGTTGATGTCCTTTGGAGTTTGTGTCAAAATCATCTTGGAGCCTCCAAAATAATAAATTGTCTGATCGGTTTTCCCTTCAAAACCATCCAAAAGAGGGCTCTCCCCAAGGAAAGGATCAGAGGACATGGGAAGCAAAGGGGGACCATCCCTGGTGCTTTGTCCATCCGTGGCACATGTCCTGCAGGTCCGACATGTTGCGTCTTGAGACTGGAAAGGTCAAGAGGGGTGGCTGGAACCTGACGTTCGGGGGGTCCTGGTTTGGACCATGTTCCGATTTTAAGCTTCAGGTTCCATTTTAATAGCGTAGTTGCAATCAACTCATCTGATTGCTAGCATTTGGCCAACTGTCGGCTTGCACATGACATCTCACTTTGGGGTAGTTTTAAAATACAAGTGAACCTAAACGATGAAATGCATTCCGCCCTTGCCTCTTGTGCAACCCAAGGGATGTAATTCTGTGTCCCTTCGGGTCACCGGTTGCAGCAGAGACCATTGCATCTTGAAGTGGCTCTCAGCCATCCGGTTCCCTCAACCTTTAGCAGGGGAGAGGACAGCCCATGTAGGCAACATTTGTGGATGCAACTGGATTTCGCCAATCCTTTTTCGCGCTTGGGCGCCTCTCGGCATAATCCACGGGTGACGAGCTCAATGTAGGCTGGGATGTCTAAACGAAACTGAGGGAATGGTGTCGTCTACTTTCTAATGGCTTTCCTTTTGATGGGTACAAGAGGAGACGACATGGAGAATGTAGGCCTCCCCGTCTTTTGTGGCTTTGGGGTGTGGGGCTGGGGTCATTTTCTGCCAAGTGCCAGGCCCAGCTGTGCCCAAGCGGAGGCCCGGGCGGATCAGGGGGGAAAAGCCAGCTGCCATGACAAAGGTCCATTACTTGCCTTGACTGCTATTGGGTTGGATCTTTAGGCTTTACCTACTTGCCCAAAGCCGACCTTTTGACCTTTTAGTTTTCCGGGTTTGGTCTATTTTTAGTCATGACCCCAAAAGGTTAACCTTCTATTTCCAGGTCCTTCGGGCAAGTGAGATTAACTTGTTGGTTGAAATCAATGGGTTTTCCACTAAACCCACAAAAAGTTCAACTTTTTGCAGAGGGGTCAACAGCAACCAAGTTGCAGATCCAATTATGAATTCGGCTGTTGAAATTATCTCAAGATTTGCAGAATGTGGTTTGTTTGTCGCTGAGTTCTTGAAGACTTGATACTGCTGTTTGGGGGCGGGTTGTGGCATCTCCGGACATGTCCAAACAGTGTTTGGTTTTGTCCAATTGTCCGAACTTGATTTCTAGTTGCGTTTAGCGGTGACTGGAAGCATGTTTTGACAAAGCCAAATGTACTTGTCAAACCCTGGGGTTTGAACCAGACGTACCCTTCTTTTGGACCTTTGGACCACTCACTATGGGGGGGCCTACTTCAACCCCAAATGACACTGCTCCAACTGGAAAGGCAACCCAAAAAGGCAGCACAGTCGGGCGACAAGGATGGCCTAAAGGTCGCATCTTTAGATTGTTTGCCTTTTGTTTTGTCATGAAGCCGTTTTTCTCAATCCCCTAACGTGGTTGGTTTTGCATGCTAACCAAGACGGGTCCATCATTTGGGAAACACCACTACAGGGAGTCCGCTCCGAAATTTGTTCTGGAACCGCTGGATACAGGACATAGTGTGCTGCTGCGCAAGTTGATAATCTTAGTTGACCAAAGCCGACCTTGAGCTGTTGACCTTTTGGTTTTTGTATTTGGTCCGTTTTTAGTCATGGCCGCAAAAGCTGATCACCAACTTTTATTTCTGGGCCTTTTGGGCAGCAGCGTGAAAGACCCCATGCCAGCTGACATGCTGTGTAGGGCTCCATGCTTTGCCTGGCAGGTGATGGCGCACAAGGCGCAGTTAGACGTCGCCACCTGCCAAAGGCAAGTGGCCGCGTTCTGAAGTGTCACCCGGCTGCGAAAGTTTCGGCCTTCGATTGAGTCGTGGACGTTTCTATGGTTGGGTCATTTTGGTGATAAACACGCGTGTGTCGGGTTTTTTTGGGGACTATCCATTCAGGGAGATTACAATCAGATTGCAGCTGAGATGGGGTCTCTGCCCAGATAGGTGGTAAGGGGTAGTTTGAGGCATTCAGGGAGGGTGTGGGGGATACCTGGGCTTTTTTAGTTGATTTGTTCCAAGCCTCTCTGGTCCAAAAGCATCAAAACCTATCGGTTGCAAGGGTCTGAGTCCCTTTGAAGCCATCCGTGTTTGTCAGAACCATGGTTTATATCATGCCCATGTTAGCTGGCCGCTTGTGAGCCATTTTGGTTTTGACGTGTTTATTGAATGAGGCATGTGCAACTCCGGTGCGATCAAAATGTGTTTGCTCAAATCAACTGCGCAAATGATGCTAAACTGCAGATCACTCGCGAAAGGTCACAAGGGTAAAGCCTTGTTGCTCGTTTAGCTTTTCCAGGGCCAACATTGGAGTGTCGTCTTTCCTTTCGGATGTTGTGTAGAAGGGAAATCACGATTCAAGCGCTCTTAAAGTCCCACATTTTTTGCGGACGCAGCCCTCCAATTTCGAAACTGGCTGGACTTCGAATTAAGGTTAGTTGACGGACCTCCCTGAGGGCTTGGGGAGCTTTTCATCCAAATCGTTTTTCCTTCGCCGCGTTCCACAACTTGGCCCCAGAAAAGTGTGCAGACATGCCGTGCGCCCATCCTCCAGCCGGACTGGCTGCGAAACGCGCCTGAGATGTCGCCATTTGCCCGCGATAGAATTCTGAGAGTCGATTGTAATGTTAACCCCGGATTGATAAGCCCCTGGTTGATTAATAGGGGGGGTGCCCTTTTAGTGGGGATTCATCACTTTTGGAGGGAACACCCCCCTAATAATGGGAGGGGTTTATTTAATCCTGGGTCAACATTCGTGGGTTCTGCCCTTGCCCAAAGCTGCAATGGGGCTTTGTCTGCATGGTATTTGTTTCCCAAGCTGAATCTCACTTGCCGAAGCTGGACCTTTTTCCAGGTCCTTGGGGCAAGTGAGAAAGGCATGCGCGCATCTCCAGGGCAGGGGCTTGCGATGATTTCG